TATCCTTAATCCATCGTACTTCGCCGCTGTTCTGTCCCTCTTGTCTACAGAATGTCCTTCTTTGTTCAAGTGACAGAAATACGAGAAAAGTTAAAATGAGTTTCCTTTGAAGATCGATATAGAAGATTGTCCCTATCCTTCAATCCGGCTTTGTAGTCTAAATGTAAATTTCTATGAGAGGTATTAGTGGTATAGAGCTGTGTCAGCATCGACGACTAAAGCATCGTTGACTGTATGATGACCGTGATAGTTTGCTCGATGGAAATGACGTACCCGGATGTTTTGGTTCCAAAAGTTTGGTACAGATCGATTCACCTGAGATTATCATTTATACCTTGAGGGGTTTGAGTGCAGCCCTCCGAAATTATGTTTTATTCTCTTCAAAAATTACATTAATTCTCTGACCACCTTCTACGCTTCTGTTAGTATTGTTCCGTCTGTTAAAAACAGATTTATGTTGGTCATTCGAAGTATCGTACGTCAAATTAATTATGACCATCAGCATGAACTGTCATAGAGAGTCGAAATTTTATATTTTCTTCTGCAAAGAAAGATTTTCAGAAGATACTTTACCCGTTTATTGCGAATAATTTGTCAGCCTTCTAAGGCTATCAGAAACGACTGCAAATTTCTACAGGCCGTCACTCGTTCCATCCTTCTTTTTGAATGAGAGCTAGGCCTTAAGTGTCAAGACATGAGGAAACTAGAATACGACCACTGGTGTTGACGAATCATCTCGTGCGTACGATTTGTCAGCCATATATCCAACGCCCGAATCAGTGCTCGTTCCAACAGTGTCCAACTCTCTACTGCCCTAAGAAAACGGCGACTAAGTTGACTGAGGCATGATATAACCTCTCGTAGCTCAGAAATGCCAGCCCAATCCCTGTATGACAAAAGGTGAACAAATTAAGAGCTGGTGAAAGCATACGTTGAGGTTTTACTCTGGACGAACAATGCACGTGTAAGGATAGTGGAAGAAAGACTTATTGAATTTGGTGCAGGTATTGCGCCTGATCGACAGACAGGGAAAGCAGCTATCCGGCACGTCATTGGAGTCGGCTAAATAACTGATGGTTACAGCCGTAACAATAACACTACCGAGGTTAACAACATTCATGAACTGAATGATGGTGCTGCTGCCTGATCTTCTGGGTACAACGATATTTCCGTTGCCTCAATATTAGTGCACCAACTGGTGACTGTTTAAAGTACAGCTCAGACATCTGCCACCACCGTACCTTAGTCATTTGATCCCATACTTTGATCATTGCAACTTGTTCACTAAGAGTGAATCGGGATGCGTTATAAAACCAATGATTGCTAAACCGATTTGCGTGAAAGTGGCTCATGGTGGATGACTCATTACGGACTATTGAAATGTCACGTATTCATGCCATACTTAGAACTGACACATGCGGACCAGTCCCAAGGGAACGGTGTTTTGCCGCATCTTCCTCTAAAACGCGAAAACCAATCACCGCACTCTAAAGTACGAATTTTGACAGTTTTACTAGCAATTTCAAGGGGCAATTGGCATTAGTAATATGTTTGTTTAATTTATATTGATTGATCGATTAATTTAATTAATTTCTGGTAAATTGTGATAATAAAAGTGGTGCAAATATTGGATAATTTGGACGTGAAGTGAAACAAATGAATACAGAATCAGTTGGGAGAAGAATTTGCTGATAGTAGCGCAGTAGTTTGAAACAGTCAACTATTATATGAAGTATTGAGGCGGTCAACCCTAATGAATGGTAGAACAAGACCCAGAAGGCAGGCTCCGTACGAGTAAGAATACACGTC